GAAACTGTGCTATACTGTGTTATACCTTTTCTTTTGCAAGACATAAGAGGCCAAGAAAAGAATTCAGGGCCTGATTCTGTACCTTAGTGTTTAAGGAATGTAGCTAGGACTCCTGAATTCTAGCCCCCACTCCCATGGTTGTTCTAATGGAAAATGCATAAGTAGTAAATAGAACAGTCCTAAAACCCCTCCCAAGCCTTAACTGCTAAGCTATATAGTGGTTATCATACTTGAGCATGCTCTCTCCTTTTGCTCCCCTGAACCATGCCGTTTTTTCAAAGCGAGTGAACAGGAGGGGTGGAAAGTGTTTGAATTCCCTCAGGCTGTGGACAGTCTAGAACATAAAACTTCCACTTCCTGGGCATGTCCTCTAATCACCAGGTTATGACACAAATGGGAACTACTTCCTCCTCTTCCAGCAGGTTCATTTTACAGTCTCATTTTTCAAATTAAAAATAAAGCAAAAGGCATGAAGAGAAACATTATATAATAAAGCCTTAAAATATATATCATTATTAATAAATTATAGGTTTAGATTAAGAATGTTAGTAGTAACAGTAGTAACTGACATCACTAAACATATTACAGTTTTCCTATAGTAGATATATTTGTGCTATGTTTGTTGGAGGAGTTGTAAAAACAAAGAGAAAACTGTAAAACTATGTTTTTACAGAAACACAGGTGACAAGCGACAGACCAAAATGATGAGAGGAGATATGAAAACTTCTCTACTAAAAGCTGTAGTTTTCCTAAGAACATAAAACCCATCAAAATGACACCTCCCAAGGCACTACAAAAATCAGTGCCTGATCCAATTCCCAGTGTCTCTCTGAAACTAAGACATTTAAATACACCAAATCAGAAAAAGTTTACTAGAGCAACCCATGTATAAATATGTGGAATGAATTGGAGAAAACACTGAAGAACTCAGCAAATCCAAGACAACATGCTGCCAGTCTGTATGCCAAACTCCTCTCCCCAGGCACTATAGGTGAGAATCCATCTTGCACAATCACAGGTAGACAGATACACAATGGGATAACCATTTATTCTTGTGCTTTAGCATGTAAAGCATAAGAGATCTTATGCTGTAGACCTGCCTTTTGCCTCTTCCGTCAGTAGACAACCTACCAAACACAATCCAGATAATAACTATGCCTCATAATTCCAATTAAGGACCTACCTAGAACTAGCCACTTAAAAATGAGTTTTTGGAATTGCCACTCTGAGGCACCTGTCTCTTCATGCATTGCAAAAGGAGTCAGGACACCTAACTCCAGATTCTGGATTTAACTCCAGCAGCCTGGTGCCTGCAAATTACGCATTGTAGTGCCTTACTTGCAGGGATTTAACTCTTGCTGACTTTAGCCCTATTTAACTACTTTTCAGGGGCTTAAATTCAATATGGTTTGATTCACTCCCAATTCCAAAGAAAAATTCCCTCTCAATCCTAGAAGTAATCTTCCGATTTGGAGGCTAGTATTTCTTTGCTTGTGGGTTTGTATAAGGGGAACAGGCAACATCTGGATTACAAGGGCAATTTCTATTTTAACTAATGAACAAGGGAATGATCAAATCTTACCTTTAAAAGCAGCCAGGAGATGCAGGTGGTCGGAGTACTTATCTCAAGTAGCATGCCCATCAAGGGTAGGTAGTGTCCAGACTCGGTATTAAGTATAAGACCAAGAAAGCCACCAAAGGCAAGGAAATGATGTACTACTACAAATGCATCAAATGTCTTGAAAATAAAGTTAGACAAATGAACGGCTACATTTTCAAGTAAGAAGAATCCAGATGCTATTAAACAGGTAAACCAGCTCCATTTCTGCTGTGAATATACTTTGTCAGCTTGAAAAACAGGATCTATGAGTAAGGCCCACAAGCCAGAAACCCAACTCTGAAGTCCAAAAACACCACGTGTGACTGTCATGTTCCAGAAGACTTTCTCCTTTGATGGCAAGGTACAGTAAGTGACACTGATCCATGAGGACAGCAAGTGAGACAGAAGAAACACTTCTAAGTAGAGGAAAAAGCCAACTACTACTAAAAATAAACGAACTTCCCAGAGAAGATAGTTCCAGTCAAACATAGTGCTGGGCACTGCATCTTCATTTGCAAGATCCATTTCTTCTGTCTGCAACTCAAAAGTCCTCAGCGAGAAACTTTAAGTACCCACAAGAGCGCTGATTTACTTTAGGTTTAACTCAGCCCGTCTCATTACATAGAGCAGAAACCACACGCTCTTCTTTTCCGTCTGTGATTAAAACAAACACACAACATTGGTAAAGAATGTATGTACATTATGGCAGGCTCAGCAGTTTCAGGAAAGTTAAGAATTTGTTACTATTTCCATGAATGTTGCATAAACCATAGATAAATTGCTTACTTGCAGGTAATTAGCTAAAATATATAAAGAGGACGTGGCATTAAGAAAACCCTGTTTTCTTACTTGCAGAACTGGGATGAACGCAGGATCTTGCAATGCACAAGGTCTGCTACAATAATGTACTGTTCAGGGTGGAAAGAGGATGCAGGACAGGAGCACCTGGGGCTGCCATCCCCAGACTCTAGGCCCCTGGGCACCTCCTTTGCTGGGTTATACGAGTGAGGGGTGGGAGGGTCCTCAGAAGGTCACATCTAGTCCAACCCTCTGCTCAAAGCAGGACCAGCCCCAACTAGCTTTTCCCAGCAGGGGCTTCATCCTGTAACTATCCGCAATTCTTCCAGTTATTCTTCCCTATTATTCTTTCCCATTACTACTAAATATGTAAAACACACTGCAATTTTCTCTATCTTACATAAGTTGTCTTTTGCCTTTATAAAATATTCCTCAAAAAGGCTTCAGTTTGAAAGGTTTTGCTAACATTACTGTCAACATTGCTTAAATAATCTTGGGACAAGTGGTACGCCAATCCCTTGCCACTGTTCCTACAGAACACTTGCAAAAATTGTAACAGCCAATAATCCTATTACTTCTATCAAGAGCAGTATCCCAGGTGCAGAGAGGAACACACCTGAAAGGGGGCAGTTCCAAAGGAATATAAAAGGAGGTTAAGAACAAAAAAATGCAGCTAAAGAACAGAAAAACATCACTGGTTTCTCAGCACCCCCTTCTCCCCCTCCAACTCCCTTCAATGAAGTCTTAAAGAGTCTTTAAGATCAAACAGGCACACATATATAGCTTAGTTTATAGATTAGAAAGGACTGTCCAACTGGCAGCCCACAGACTGCATGAGGCCTGTTATGTCCCACAGCTCAGGGCACTCTAGTCTCCCTCCTACCTCCAGCTGCTGAATAGAGCACAGGCAGAGGTGCAGAGAGGACCTTGGCTGTGCAGGTGCAGTGTGCAATGGCAGAAGGGGTGCCTACATTAGTGTGTGGTGCAGTGGTGGAGGAAAAGGAAGGGAAGGGATGAGGAAGTGCCAGTGCAGTACGGCAGTGGGGGCAGGGCTGCTTGTATGAGCAAGGAGTGCAGGGACAAGGGCACCTGTAGCTTACCCTAGTGCACGTGCAACATGCGGCCCTTGCTGGTCCAACCTGTGGCATGTGCAGCCTGTAGCCACTTGGAAGTAGGGCAGCTTAAAAGATACATGTTCACATTACAGATACTTTATCCATGTCCCAGCAACATGTGAGAGCCTCTCTGAAAAAACAGTACAAAGTGGTCTTGGCATCAAGAATTAAGCTCTTGTCCTGAATATATTCAGCTACATATATGTGCAGAAAATAAAGTGAGGCTTGGAAATCATTTGTGTTGCAAGTTTCACATCAAGTGCAATAAAAACCCTCAAAGCTAGGCACTCTTAGGTCATAACTGCAATGACTTCATCTCCTTCCAGCTCTCTTAAACTGGCTCAGTGCATAGACACGTAAGGGTTACACCTCTGGCACTGCTTCAGCGTGACTCAAACACACCAGAGAAGTGGGACCAGGGACTAGAAACCCTCAGTCCTGGCTCACAGGAATAAAGGCAGTGCAGGATCATGCCCTGAGCCGATGTGCAGTTACTTCAGCATCCGCAGCAGACAAACCCACCGCTGCCTTCCAGGGCGTTACTAGGAGCCGGGGATGCGGGAAGGAGGGGTGACCCACAGACTCCAAACTTGCTCAAACAGACGCTCAGAGCAAGTGCAACTAACTGCCCGTGACACAGCTTTGGCTTCAGCCCGCCAATG